GTTGCCTCACCTACCTGGGGTCCCCCACCTCCATGTAAACAGGCCCTAATTCAGTTTTTTTAGAAAATTAGATGGCCTGCTTCAAATGGAAGACTTAGACTCAGAGGAAAACATTATATTAGGGGGTGATTTCAGTTGTCCATTAAATCCAGCTCTTGATAAACACGGTCGTGGTTTTTTAAAAAATAATCAATATTTGGTCCTCAAGGGGGCTTTCTGTCTACGGAAAGGTTACTCTAATCAAATCACTTCTTATACCAAAGATCGTTTACACCTCCTCTTTGTTACCTACTCCGGAACACAATGTCAAGGATTTAAATCACATATTATATATGTTTTATGGAAAGGTAAAGATAAAGTAATAAGAGCGTCAACAATAAATAATTATGAAGAAGGAGGCATGAAAATGGTGGATATTGAAAGTGTGATAAAATCTCTCCGTCTTTCCTGGCTTAAACGAATATTTAGTGACAACTCAGGCGCGCGTGGAAAAACTACCTAGAATACATCTTGAAAGATTCTGGAGGTCTAATGCTTTTTAAATGCAATTATAATGTTAAGGATCTTCAAATTACCTCTACCTTTTATTTAGAGCTACTTAAATGGTGGTCGGAACTCCGAGAAGATAATGCTCTTAATAACGATTGGCATTATGTAATTTGGAATAATCGAGACTTTAGAATAGACGACAAGCCCTTTTTCTACAAGAAATATTACGACATTCGTATCTGGGAAATAGGAGACTTACATCTTGATCTCAGCAATAGGGAATCCTACGAACAGATCGCAAAAAATGTTAAAAAGACAAAGTTCCTTGAAAGGACTAATATGAGACATTCAATACCAACCAACTTAAAAGTTCTCTAATCGCTCGGATTCGATTACCTTTAATGCAATACCTTCCTTTAAAATCAATGGCGGCGTTTTCGACATAGCAAAAAAGAAATCAAAAGATTATTATCCTTTTTTGATCAAAAAGAAGGCTTGTCTCCCAAATTATGCTCAAAAACTGAAGTTGGATTTTAATCTATCTAATGACGATCTCAGAAAGGCATTTCTCTTGCCGCATTCTATCGCGTTTGAACCTTATGTCAAAGCCTTTCAATTAAAGTACTCAATTCTATACTTTTTACCAACTCAAAGTTGTTCAAGATTGGGTACAGGACAGACAACCTGTGCTCTTTTTGCAGGAGGGAATCAGACACTATTAGACATTTCTTTTGGGACTCCCCTTATTCGAATTCATTCTGGAAATGTGTTGAATCATATTATTTTGGGTTGCGAAAACAATTAGTTCACCTAACATAAAGGAAATTTGGATCAGCTTTTTAACTTCCGATTGCCCCTTGCTTAATTATCTTATACTTATAGGGAAAATATATTTATGGAGTTGCAGAAGGAATGAAGTACTCACAACCATAAACAGTTTTATTCAGAGAAAACGGTAAATATGAAATAGAAAAATATATTTGCGATGAGAATAAGAGTTTGCAAAAATTAATAGACAAATGGACTTTGTAATCTAGTTGATCTTCTTCTTTTACAAAAATGATTAGTTTCTTCTTTTTTGAATAGCACTTGCTTGTAAAATAACATTAGGCATACCTTGTGTGGTGATTGTGGAATTGCCTGTGTGCTTAAGTGTGTAGTCCGTTTGTGCATGCATACTTCGTGATAATAATAATAATAATAATAATAATAATTTAATAATAATAGACAATTTTATTAAAAAAAACTATTAAAATCCTATTTACAATTAATTCGCTTAAAAAAAAAGAAAAAACTATTCATTCAAAAACACTATTTACAATTTCTGTCTGTATTTCTATAATAATAATAATAATAATAATAATAATAAAAAAGAAAGTATACTGACCAAGGTTAAGAAGTAACTGTGATGTGGTGGACTAGTTCGCGTGACAGATTGCACGAAAGATCACGTGGCCGTTGTCGTAACCAGTTAGTTAGATAATGACATGTTCGTCATTGATGACTTAAGCATGGCGTCAATGCATTTAAGGCCGAATGCTATTCCACTTAAGTTTTAATTACATTTAACACCAAATGCTATTACGCGAATTCAAAAGATGCGATTAGTATTACAGAATCCGTTTGCAACGTTCTTGGTTGAGTTCAATACTACACTAAACCTTCTCAGAATTTTAGGTTCAATGATATGTCATTCCCGTTAACTTTCGATTTTTGTGAAATGGAGATTCGTGGCGTTGGTTTCATTGCCGTTCGCTGGAGGACCTAGAAGGGTTGCGCTTCTATGCCGGTTGAAGGCTTATTTCTCCCGTCAGCCTCTATACAAGCTCAGATAATCATGAAAGGAATAAGCACAAAGGAACAGTAGCATAAAAGACTAAATATAGAAAAGAAAATATGAGACATGGATGCGACTGAAGAGATCTTGTAGACTTTCAATGACGCGTTGATAAACTTATAAACCTGTCATGGAGGTGAGAACTCATCATCGAACTAGTAAAGAATGGAAATACCAAAAATTGCAAGAAATGGACAGGCATAACCTTACTCTGTGTTGTGGGAAATATGCTATGCGGGATTGTTATTGATAGGATAAGAGGCAGAGTCGATTGTAGGCTGAGGAAAGAACAGGCACGATATCGAAAAGGCAGGGGGACGACAGAGCAGGTATTCATACTGCGGAACATCATTGAGCAGGGCAACGTATGGTAAACAGCACACTATCTGAACTTCATAGATTTTAAAAAGGCGTTCGACTCTATCCACCTTGAAAGCATGCGGGCAATCATGAAGAAATACGGAGTCCCAGAAAAGATCATTTGAATGGTAAAAATATTCTATCAAGACGTTAAGTGTACTATAGAAAACCAAGGATAAATATACGGTGGTTTGACATAAAAATATAAAAGAAAACGGCGTCAAACAAGGATGTAATATGCCACGTTTTTTGTTCTTGACTGTTACGGATTGGGCAATGACAAGGACAGTTGGTCGTGGTGAGAATTGTATTAGATGGAAATTCACATCTAACCTAGACGACGTAGACTTTTCAGATGACGTATTCCTAATATCCTGTGCCAAACAGCAGATTCAGGATAAAACAGCAATAATGGATCGGGAGGCAGACAACTAGGACTAACAATCTACATTGAAAAGATAAAGGCGATGAGAATTAATGCAAAGAACCAGGAAAGTATTATGATAGCTGGATTAGGAATAGAAGAAGGAAATGAGTTCAGTTACTTGGAAGCTACAGTTTGTGAGGAGGGAGGTGGTATGAATGATCTGAAAAACAGACGCTAAGAAGAAAGGGGCTGAGGCTGTTTAAAACCTGCTACTTCCAGTCCTGCACTGGTGTGAAACATGAAAAATGGACGTGGGGGACGACAGTGCAGTAGATGTGTTTCATAACGAATGTCTACGAAGAATGCTACAAATCCAGTAGCAGTGCCATGTCAGTACTGAGTAGCCACTAGAAAGAGCAGACATGGAACCTCTGAGTAAAGAGTTCAAGCAGCGTACATGAAAAATGATCGGACGTATACTGGACCAAATTCCAGCGAATGCAACACAGCAATGACTTAAGCACCAGAAAGAAACAGGAAAAGAGGAAACTCACAAATTCCAGTGCTTTTCCATGTCCGGCACAGTAGGGTTATTTCACCTCACTGTATTTACGTAGAATTCTTTGGCGTATTCGAATTGTTTTCGCCCGTCCACACGAAAACACCAAAACAGTGGAAATACGGTCATGTGGCATGCTTGACTGAGCATGTGTTTTACAATGTTTGGCATCATCATATTCGAAATTCTTCGTTTTCCGTTCGCACGAAAACGATAAGCTGGCATTTTTAAAAAACTCCACTCTGGGGACCGTTAAAATACTGGAAATACCGATCAGTGTGGAAGGAAACCTAAACTGAGGAAAGAATCTCTCTTTTCAAAAATACCCGGGTGCGTGTGGACAAGGCCTAAAGTGAGTTTATGAAGCTTGTGCTCTGTCTCTAAGCAACATTTACGACCAGATCTCTTGTTGTATCTCAACATGAAGGTCAAATTATTCTTATTATCATTCGTCCTGCATTACCCGAAATTGTCCGCAAATGATAGTTTAGTATAATTGTTGAATTTTGAAAGTAAACTAGTTTTTGTTCGATTTGTACTTTTCATCTTTGAACCCAGGAGTCCCTGCAGCAGCGGAGATCACAGATTTACCGGCTGAATCAAAGGATGCTGAAATCACTTTAAAATGGAAAGAGGCTGAAAACAATGGAGCCCCTATCACCCAGTACACTGTGTACCAAAGAACTGTCCGTGAGGATGGCAAAACACTGAATTGGATCAAGATAAAGGAAGTTACAGATACTTCAGATCGTAAAGTTGTTGTTAACTTGGGAAAAGGCAAAGAATATGAATTTGTAGTTTCTGCTACAAACAACTTTGGAGAAGGATTGAAAGAAGAAAGAAAAATCAGGAAAATAAAGGTGTTGGGAGGTACGTGTATTCTGGCCCAGGTATCCTAACTCTCTTTACATTCTCTGTATATTTGTAAGACTTCGTTTTTCCATTTTTCTTAAATTTCCACTATGAAAGTACACATAATGCGTGGCATTGGACTCCATCCAATGGATGTATAATTCGTAGCAACCGTTTGTTGATAAGTGTCTTTACTTCATCTCCGCTCAGTGTGACCCTGTGTACACCCAAAACAAAGGAGGAAGCGTGTATCAATTATAATCCACTGATTAATTTTCGCACAATGTTATTGGCCATTTTGGGTCTCGTGTGCCAAATCATAGGGTGGGTATCAGGCAATACACCCCGTCCGTGTCGATATCCGCCATGCGATTTTTCAGTGGTCAGGAAAGCGTGATAAGGTCAAAAAAGTGAGTCGCTTTTCAGTTTTTATCCTCTTAATAATTTCAAATGGAAGCAGTAAGAGCAAACTTGTTTTGTATAATCCAGTTTCACTTAAATTTTGAGCTTTTCGCTGCTGACAGTTCCAGAAAACCTGTTGTTACAGATGGCCTTTCTTGCTGTGACTTCCTCAGTTTCCACCATCCACATCAGCAAATCCAGTTTTTGTCAACAGCCCACTAATGTAAAACTTAAGTCCGTCAACTGCTCCAACTGCTTCATGGTTGTAATTACTCTTCTAGCCCTTCCAGCGGCAGTAAGTGATATGGTTGGATTCTCTTTAATTATCCATTAGAAACGTTTTTTTTTGAATGTGTAGTTTTCAGACAGTGCTGTCGGTAAACTAGAATATAAACTAAAAGCGCTACTTTTTCCAGTTTTGATCTATGGAGCTTTGCGAGAGTTCATTTGACATGACAGCCTGTTAAGTCCCGGTCCAACCACAGTTTGAATAAAACAAAAATCAAGCAATCAATGCACTTGTTGGCGTCATTTGCACGCGCGCTCACCTCTTTTCTTTTTTTTTTATTTCTTCTCTTCCAACATTTTAGAGATGTAAAAAATAATCAGAGGACTATAAAGTAAATAAACTCCTTTCTGGCTTACTGTATATAGAATGATAATGCCCTTGGCTGAGACATTGTCCTGAAGATTGCTTAAAGCAGTAGGCATTATTGATTGTCCTCGGACAATCTCTCAGCCGCAGGCATTATCTTCCGATATACTAGTCGCCGGAAGGGGTTTGTTTACTAAATAATACACGCCTTTGTCGTTAGCCCACCCTTTCCCAGCTACTCCGGCTACCGCCATCCATTGATGAGGCTTTACTTGTTCCAGAAAAAAAAAAACCTGCTTTGCTACATACCGGTACTTTACATGTTTGTCGATTATTAGTCTTAAGTATTAAAGCTATGGATTATATGTGTCGTGTTCCAAGTGAATCTGTTTATTCCTTTCGAGACGGCTTTATTTAAGCAATAGACCACACTTTCTATGGGCTTACCGGAGTGATAACCCACGCGGGATAGTGCAGAACACGAACAAAGCTTGTAAATCATGAGCCGAAGGCAAGTGATTTACAAGCTTTTCGAGTGTTCTCCCAACATCCCAAGTGGGTTATCACGCCGGTAAACCAATAGAAATTGTGGTCTATTGCTTTTCTGAAATAACTTTAAGTTTTCTATGAGTTTACCGGCACTATAAACCATAGGTTTATAACCAATCAGAACGCGCGTACTATCTTAGTTAATTTGTAATACCCAATAATGTCGTGCGAAATGAGTGTCCAATGAAATTTATTTCCTAAAGAATATGAAAGTACACTAATCTTTCATCGAAGCGAAGGACTAAATAATACGTTGAGACAGTATTAAGAGTGTGTCCATGAGAGAACCAGGCAGGAGGTGATAATGCTCAAATCACGGATTTCGCTCAAACTTGGCACAATTGATGGGTGTGGTGAGATATTAACCTCGACAAAAAATAAGGTCGCAATATTGAATTCCCTGGGATTTACAGGGACCCCCCCTAAAAACGACAAAATCTACTCATTTTTGCATAATTAATTAGCTGACTTTGGTTTGGCTGTTCAAGAAGAAGAAAAGACAACTTCAAATCTAATCAACTTTATCATCTTCTATGTTTATCAAACTTAATGCTCAGTAATCTATTTTTACTCTCTAATTCGATCTCTTCCTATTATTTAGCCTAAAGTAAGGACATCTTCTCACTGTTTTGACCAAACCCTAAATTTAAGGTATTTTAGTGGCTAACATCTCCCATGAGCAACAACCTATGTACTTAATTCTCACATATTCTTTGAAAGACATCTTTAAGGTTATCAAATCAATCATAAAATATTTGGGCAATCTCATACTTTATCAATAATGACGTATTATGTACATCTGACTTGACGCTTATTTGTCATTTGACCAAAATTGGAAGAAACGTAACATTCGTTTTTTTAAACAAAAATAGCACACAGTTGACGAGAAGTCACAAATCAGATGCGTCATTATCGATACTAATAGCGGAATTGTTAGAACGTGTCACCTGAGGCATGTTTTCTGTGTTATTTATGGACGTTTGGATGGATATTTTATGCAACGCTTGAGTAAACACAAGGAGCAAAAGAGTTAGTTCAAAACTTGGATCGGTCCAACTTGTAGGTGAAACAAGACTCAAAAAGGATAAAAGATAGTGAATAAATGTTACATACACGTCTCTCAGGTGCTTTAGTCCAGATTTGCTGCTCCAGTTTCGTCTGGTCCTTTGTGGCGTTACTTCGTGACGAGGTAATGAAATCGAAACATCTTGAAACATTGCAGAATTAAAAGTGTCGGCTTTTCACCGAACATTCGAAGTCTTTGAAATAAGTTGTAGTCAGAAAGAACAAAATCATTCTCAAAGGACAAGAAGGATCACTGACAATCCGTCTATATCAACAGAAAACAACCACCTGCTCGAACATCCTCCATCTTTGACTTTAAACTCTGCGAAAAAGATTGAATCTGTGACGCCCCAATATCCTGTTATAACTGGTGTGTTGAAAATAGGTTGTGAAAGTCGTGTTACTTGAAATTTTGAGTTTATTCG